TTTGGTTTGATGTTATTTAAAAAAAAAAAAAAAAAAAAGACTTTTTAGATATATAGTTGTGTGGAGATTTTAAAGGCAAGAACCGTCTATCTGCGGGGGTGGACTTGAGAGTTTGAGAATTTCTGTCTAATTAAAGATGAATATTTTACTGCAAGAGATGTCCCTAGAGAAACAACTTAATTGTCTGCACAAATTTGATTCTGTATAATGCTGAAACAATCTGACACAGGGCTTTTGGTGGAACTGTGGCAGAACAAAGCTATTGAGAAGGTGTGTGTGATCCCAAAGAGGTTGCAGTGCATTGATTTTAGCAGAGAAACAGATGATGATTAAGTCAAATCCGTCGTGTGGTTTCTATTATTGTGATATGAGGCATTGTGTCGTGTCGGCTTTTGATCATAGCACAAAGTTCTCATACAACTCTCATACAGCTGCATGTAAAAAGCTAGAATGTGGTGGAAATTGTTTTATTCTTCTTTTTATTTATTTATTTTTCCATTATTCCATAGCTTTTTTTCTGTTAGAATCTTGATCATGGTGGCTCAACAAAAACAAAAAGATATTGCTTCAAAGCCAGGAAATTATTCCCCAAGAATCAAGCTAAATATTTAAGTCATATACACACTTAATTCTTGGTTTGGGCTCCTTCACAACAAACTACTGCATTAGAGTGGCATGTGGTGCAAATTGTTCAAGTGTTATAAAATCCGTTCAGCTCGTCTTTTTTTTATTTTTTATTTTTTTTTTTGAGAGTTAGTTGAGTCTCATCTTCCTCTTGACAAATATCCCAAGGTGGCTGGTTAATCGAGCATATTAACATCATAATTAGCAAACCATTTAGTAGAAATCTTCACAGCAAATGGAGGCATGATGGTCTCTAAAATTTCCTGATAGACGTAAGGCTGTGCTGACTTGACAAAACACAGTAGGTCAAAAGCTGCATATCAGATGGCACCACAAATCATCACAGGCTCTGTGGACTTCTCACCGGACTTCAAGCACCTTGGGTTCTGGACCTCTCAGATGTTCCTTCAGACTCTGGAACCTTAATATCCAACATCTGAAAGCAGGACTTTGAAACACTGAGCAACAGTTCAGTTCTTTTTCTTCTTAGTCCAGACCCACCCCCTGTGAAGGCAAATAATAATTAACTCAGAATTTCAACACATGCCAAAGTAGTTGGGACAGGGGCATGTTTACCACTGTATTACATCACCTTTCCTTTTAACAACACTCAATAAACGTTTGGGAACTGAGGAGACTAATTGTTAAAGCTTTCCCTGTTTCTTGGTTTCTTTTGCTTCACTCACTTTTCAGTCATCTTTCCATAAATCTGCTTCATACAGACTGTGTGAACAGCAATGACCCTGTTGGGCTAACTGTCCATGTGGAGGGTGTCCATAATGGTCTTTTGGGCAGCTGTCAGCTCAGCAGTTTTTACCATGGTTGTAGTTTCAGGTTCCAAACTGGACTGTGAGATGCACCATATTTATACTGTTGGAATAGTAATTTACTCAAGATGTAAAATTTCAAATTTGTGAAACTCCTCCTCCTTTTCAAGAAAGAAATATTTTAAAAACATTTGTGTCAAATCAGACCAAAAACCTCTTAATTTCTTTTTACTTTCTTAAATAATCAATAAAGAATATTGAACCGTTTGACATTTTTTTCAGATGCAGCTGTATGATTACAACATCGACTGTCATGAGTACAGCATGTAGAATAAGGCATGACTAAATATATTCTTCTGAACCTGCTACATACTGAAAAAAACTACCATTAATGCCATAAATCTGAACACATTTATTTGTTGCAAAACTCATAAGTATGCTGCAGGCATCCATATAGTACATGTAAGTGACAAATAAAAGCAAATGTAACATGAGGGGATGTTTTAGGATGAGCAGCATTCTTCTTATTCTCACTCATTTGTTCTTTTACTGATGGTTGTGAGAAGCAGTGACTGTGAAGAACAAAGCCTTCACAACATTTTCATATTCATTAAACTCTCCATGCCCTGCCCCGTCTTCTGCATTTTTCATGTTTCCCCTGAAAATGTGTGCAGGTTTTTCTTTTCATCCGTCACCTGTCTACACAAGTTCAAAGAAGGAGCAAAGCCTGAAGTTACAAAAGGAAAAAATCACAACTCATTGAATCTAGTAGTCGGTCTTAAGATTTAGATCTAGCCACAGAAAAGTCATTTGTGGCAGCACTAAACATCCTTCTGCTTTGAAGTGAGTCTTCACGAACCATGGATCATATTTAAAGATGGTCAAAGATCAAAGACATCGATAAGCTACTGTTGATAACTGCAGCATCTAATTTGGGTTACTTTATCCTGTATTCATCATTTCTTGTGAGTCTTGACTCAGGGACTCATAAATCATGTGATGCTTTGGAGCAACAGGAGGCTAATTAACATTTTAGAAATAAGTCCATCTGGTCCACCAGAGAATAAACAGGAAAGGTGTCCCAGGGCTCTCCATATGTTCCTCCTGCCCAGTGCTTATAACTACAGGGTGTTGAATCAGATAAAAATATGTGATTCAGCAACAAAAAATGGTGTTAAATGAAATTCATGCATTTTAAAGATCAATTTGTGGCACCCACCTGACAAAGGTAAGACCTTCACTGAAGATTGAGTCTTTGTGGATCTCTATAGTGTCATCATGGGCTTCCAGGAGCTGTCAGAATAATGTAGTGAAGACAGACCTACAGAATAAAGTAGTTAATTGGGGTAAGGGTGATTTCAGGGATCTTTCCAGTAGACTCAAAGGCTTTGTGGTTTCACCTGAGACTTTGAGACTTCATTGCTTCAGGAAGTGTATTCCATACATCGTAACTCAAAGGTAACTTGTTTGGCTTCAGCAAGGCTCAACTTCCATGTCTCTGAGAGGTGAACCTTCTTCTGAAGTCCCATTAATGTGAAACATGACAAAATGTTTACAGCAAGGTTAGAGGACAACATTTTTTTTTTTTTTGTCATTTACTTCAACTCCTCATGTCACACAGACACAGGAAGTATAAAACTGTAACAGATAAACATGACCTCATGTTTTCATAAATGATCTACCATCCAGTAGACATGTTGCTTATTTTTTCAATCCTGATGGGTATTTTTGAAAAAGCAGATTCTGGTTACAGATCCTTGCTATTTGGTGCAAATCATGTAGCTTTCTATCAATTTTGTGGCTTCAGTGGCTGAGTGTGCCTTTGGGAAATGTGAAAATCATCTAAAGCTGATTAAAGAATCCAAACAGAGATAGCTGTTACAAGGCTTGGAAAATGCACAGAGTGCAGGGACACAATCAAATATAGAGTTGATATTGTTGATGTGTATCAGAGATTGTCTTTAATTCACCTGGCACCCAAAGGAAAATGTACACAAGTAGAGTGACACTTTTTCACAGTGTTTGAGATTGCAGAGCGAGTGAATACATGGTAGCATTGGGCCAATGATTGGACAAACTGCAGCCACATGATTAATTACAGGTACACACATATCCATCAATAACAACATGCAGCTTACACACATACATATCTTAACAGACATATTCACTGACTAGTACCAGCACATGTACATGACAAGAGATACATGCATCCCCCTGAAGTAAGTGCACACAAACTCATTAATATGCATGACAATGACCTTTTGTATCTCTTCGGCTCACACATACACATTAATCATTTTAAAGAGTTTACAGTTGGCTGCCTATGGTACATCCCAGTAATTACAAAGCTCTTGGTTAAAATACAGCATGGATGTTATGATATTGCAGTATTTTTACTGACTGATAATAATAGGTTTAAAAATGGTAAACAAGTTCAAAGGTCAGAATGTGAATTAAACCAGGAGGAACACTCATTATACCAACGAAAGTTAAGGGGACCACAAAAGAGATCTCTATAAAGTCAAATGACCGACTGTCAAGTGTATATATGACCGTGCTGTGTTACATGATCAATATTGTAACAGAGGTGATTGATTTTCATCAACAAAAGCAACACATGCTAACTCATGTTATGCCAATCCATACAGATCATTTCTGGCCCATTTCACCTCTGCCTGTATTCACTTTGGTAAAAACACTGGTAAACATAAGCATTATTAATTTGTAAAGACTGTGACAAAAGCATCAGTCTGTATCTGAGCCTGCTTTAGAGAGAGGGGACAGAATGACCCTACCCCCTCCATCATCTCTGACATGGAAAAGCGAAGCAACATCCGGTCCTGGAGCTATTGAGAGCAACTACAAGTTGCAGATGGCTTCAAAATACCCTGCTACTTAGACCCATTGCGCTCGTTGCCCGAACATGTGCAGGACTGTGTCATGAGCCTCTTCCTCTCATCTCAAGCCTCTAACTTCACAAAGATGAGATGAGATGATTGAATTTCTCCTCAGGGATCAATATAGGTCTCCTTATCTTATAAAATAATGGATTTTTTTTTTCTGATTTTGCTTCAGGGAGATTGGAGCATGACTAAAAATCTGTGTTTGAATATTTCTCTGATGTACTTTAATAATTCTAGAACAGGGGTTCTCAATTAGAAATGTAAAAGGTCCAGAAAATAAATTTTGAGGAAGTCATAGGTCCACAGCGCATGGGTAGCGGGGAAAATTTTGGCCTTTTACTATTTTTTTTTTCATGTTTTTATGTACTTCAAGGCTGGGTGTACTGTACTGTAATAACCAGGAGTTATTGGGAGGAACAAAAACATTTATTTCAGTATCACACTGATATTCTCTCTTACCTAGTATTACTCAATTAAATAAAATAAAAATAAATAAACAACAACTTTAAAGGTGAATCGTGTGTCTTGGGAATTCAAATGTTCACATACATCTCAAAAGTAAAACAAAGTATGCTTTTCCTTTTAGCATAAAATAACAAAACTAAACCCTAATACTGTTCTTTGGTAAACAGATTGCAAGATCTCAGTCATAAAGGTGCAAAAAAATAAAAAATAAAACAACTATGGCACATTCATTAAAGAGCCCCCTCTTTCTAAATACACACACTGGGAAGCACAGGAAATAAGAGAGAAACTGCTTTTCGTCCATTAAAGGTGAATGGAGTGTCTCTTATATTCAAATATTCACATATATGAGCTCAAAAATAAAACGTCCTTTTCAACAGAACAAACCCTCATATTCTCAGATAAACAAAGTCAATGAAGGTACACAAAACATTAATTTTGTCAAACACTGCTGCTTAATGAAAGAAATGGCACCTTGGCTTTGCTGCCAAGACTTTGAACCTTGGCACAAGAGGTGTGATGGCCAGGCGGAAACACACACGAAAGTGTTTATTGGTGAGTCTAGTGCAGTATTTGTTCTCTACAATATTCATTGTGGAGAATGCAGACTCACAGCTGTAGGTTGAGCCAAACATTGTGAGAATGTGAACTGCTATCTTGTACAAGAGAGGGTAATTAGCAGCAGTTACCATCTTGGTCCAGAGGGTGATAGCGTCACACTGAGCCTCTTTCAGTGCAATGTTTTCCTGGAGGTGAATCAATTCACTTTGCAGTGGAGCAGCTCTGGCCCATGGGTAGGTTTTTTGTGCTTCTTCAGCGAACCCTCTCACATTCTTGACCAGGAATGGATTGTCAGTGAAAAGTTGGAGTTGTTCTCCTAATTCAAAATTTTCAAAGCAAGTCTTGAAATTCTCAATCAACCTCTCCAGGAATTCCACACGGCACCGATGATCTTCTTTTCCCTTGGTCTGTTCCAGAAGTTTGGAGAAGTGCAGCATGCCCTCCTATAAGTAAAAATAAAGAGCACTGCTTAAAAAAGGGTATTATGAAGTCTAAAAATCATGTGATAAGTGGAATCCAGGAAATGAGTGTGATGGATTGAAAATATTAACAATGACAACTCACCTGTATGTCACTTTTGTAAAGCTCCAGCTTCCCCTGGAAGGCACGCACTTCTGTCATCAGCCCACATACTGTGCTGTTCTTCCCCTGTAGCTTCAGGTTTAGGCCATTGAGATGAGATGTTATATCTGTTAAAAATGCCACAGTTTCCATTTTTCCAGCATTTTGCACAAACGCAAGGAACTCTTCAGCTTTTGTGCTTTGGCTGTGACAGAAACTCTTGCAGCTCCTTTCTAATGGTCCAAAAGTGCTCCAGGACCCGGCCTTTGCTCAGCCATCTGATGTTGTTTTGCAGGAGTAGATCATCATAAGCTGCATCTACCTCTGCCAGGAATTTGCGCAGGAATGTGCAGCGCTGCAGTGCAGATAATGCTCTTAAGAAGTTTATGAGTTTCATCATTGTTTGCATGACTTCAGAGTACTCTTCTCCAAGTTTTGCACAAAGGACAGACTGGTGGATTATGCAGTGGTAAGATATCAGGCCAGGGTGGTTTGCTCTCAGACGTGAAACCAGTCCATTCTGTCTTCCCAACATGGCAGGAGCTCCATCAGTAGCAATTGACACAACTTTTTTCACATCTATCTCTTTTTTATTCAGCATTTCTGAGATTACTTTATGTCTTCCCCTCTTGTTTGTCCACTGAGGTTTGCCAATCCCAGCACATCTTCAGTAAACTCCTCCTTTGCCTCATCATAATACCTCACAAATACCACCAACTGTGCATCATCAGTGGTGTCAGTGGATTCATCCACTGCAAGGGAAATGCACTGTGCATTTTGTATTCCATCACAGAGGTGTTTCGACAAATCATCAGCAAGTACTTCAGTACTTCTTGTTGCTGTGTCATGTGAGAGTGGGATTTGCTTTATTTTAGCTGCTATTGTCTCCCTTTCTTTACCTTCTAACAAGGTGTTCATCACTGCATTCAAAATGTATTTTATCATTTCTGCATCATGAAATGGTTTCTTGTGCTTACCCATGATCCAGGCCACTCTCAGTGAGCACTCTGTTGCCTTCTGCTGCTCTGTCATGCACAGGGTCATTTTAGTGCGAGAAGCCTCATATGACTTTTTCAGCTTTTGTATTTTATGTGTTCGTAGCTCTGATTTTTTTGGGGCAATGTCTATCAAAATTGCAGTGGCGCGTCTCATAATGGCGTTTAGGGTTTTCACTTTTTATCAGAGCAACCGTACTTTCGCACAAAAGACACATTGGCTTTGTGCTCGAAGGAGGTAAGATAATCATATATTTGTCAGTCCATTCATCATTAAATCGGCCATTTTCAGTGTCCACCTTTCTCTGACTTGCCATTTTGATGTCAGGTGTTAACAATGCTACCGCTATCCGCTGTCCGCGAGGTGCAAAGAAGACACACTGAAGGAGGAGGGTGTGTTCCAGTTTGTGTAGTTATCAGCCCATCGTTGTCATGGGAATGACAGTCCATAATGCAAGCGTGAGCGTGCGCTCTCTCTCTCTCTCTCTCTCTCTCTCTCTAAGTCAGAGAAAAAAACAACTGTTTATTGGGGGGGGTTGTTGTTTTTTTTGCCCTGGGTCCACAAAGAGGTGGTGTCGCCTATTGCGGACCCTGATTCTAGAACCATTAACACTTTGTACACATTTTACATGTGCCATGGGCATGAGCAACTCTGGCAGAAAAGAGGGTGCTGAAGAAGCTGTCACATAACTCTGCCCCACACTGTTATGCATCAAAACAAATCAGGACATTCTCCTCTTTCAAATGAGACTGGTCTTCCCTCACTACGATGAATGTATACATACATCCTTTATAAAGGTTTGCAGGTAACGTTTCTAAAGGAAAAGAAAAAAAAAAGAAATCATTTTTTTGTCATTTTGTGCAACTAAATCTGTTGTAAACTTGGTTTTCAGTCATATTATTTTTCAAACATTTCCCCAGAAGCTAACGCAATGAATATTTTATTCTGAAAGATCCACAAAAATGCCCGTCAAGCTTCATTCTAGCCAACCACAGCCCAATACAATAAAAGTGTAGTATTTACAGGACAGGTTTTTTTTAGCAGGACTTACACTGGCAGCTTCTCACCCACAGCTAGCATGATAAAGATCACAGACAATCTTTTACTTGATTTATATGTTACAAGGTATCACCTTTCTGTAGACACCAATGTTGTGCATCTAGACCCTATAGTATTGAACAAACAGTAGAGTGGAGGTGGGACAGCTCCACACAGACACACCACTGACACTGACTGTGGCCTTCCTTATGGATCTAGGCTCATTTAGTATTCAGACTGTGATTAGATAGTTGGCCTTTATAACCTTTTAATAATGTTGTTAATGATATGCTCTTATTTTTAGTGTAATGTGATTGTACAGTGTTGATGGATGAGCTGGTGATGTGAGACAAATGTCTGAGTAATCGGTCAATAAAGTATTATCTTATCTTACAGTTGATGAGCTATTTACTTTATTTACTTGATTTACTGTAGGTGTGTGATTTTAGGCAGAAAAAAGCCTGAAACAGCCCAGTGTACAGGTGGTCAAGCAGTAGGGAAAATAGTCCCTTTTATCTTGTGTAATATTACTTTCGGCGGAAATGTTCAAATCAATGTGTAATTTTCGGTTTCAAATTAAAACGGTTCTGCAAGGAAGCTGATAATACTCTGCTGCCATGGAAGTACCACAGACTGAAAAGAAAATAATACATTCAAATCCATAGGAATATATTAATTTTAATAAATGATTTGAGCCTTAAAATCTGCTTTGAGTCCACTTATTTTTAGCTTCAATTGTTTGACTTGTACTAAGCAAATGATTTCACAATATGATCATTAGGTTTTCATTTTTGAATGAAAATCCCAATAGTTCATCATGTCAGCTAACAGCAGGGCAAGTTGTGGTTGACCAGTAACCCTTCAACAAAGGTCAAGAACAGCCTCATAACATTTCATTTGTGGGTTTCCTGAGGCGTAAGCCTTTACCACAACTGTACTGTCTTTAATCCAGAGTTGTTTGTCTGGAGACAAACCTGAAACTGGTTCAGCTTTGTATTGATCTCTACCAGCTCCAACTCGTTTCGACCAGGACAGTATCTGATGAATAATATTAAGATGGCTTCAACACCTTGTTGCTCATGTTTTAAGCTTTTCCTTTGACCTAAAAGAGCTTAGGTTATTTCAACAGCATCACACAAAAAGGGGGTCTATTAAATCATGTTAAAATGTCTCTACCATTTTCTTTCTGTTCACCCTTGGGCAGTGATGTCTGTCACAGGGTTTGGAAAGGAGAGCAGCAAAAGCTCCAGATTGTGTAAAGCAGAATACCGTCATGGGCTGGAGGTAGAAGCAGTGTTTTGAGAAACATCAAGGTTGGACTGGTGCAACTAAACATTTATTATTTACCTCTGGAAAAGCATACAACTGGAATCTGGAAGCAAAAGTATATGTTTGGATGGTTGGTCTGCTTATCTATCATCTGCAGCATGCACCAAGCTGTTTTTTCCTCTTTTTCTCTTTAAGTGACCAAACTGTCTTCATGGTAAATGCAAAAGTGACCAACCTTAGCAGCATGAATCTCATCAAGATCTCATCAAGACATACTCCTGGATGGAAACACACTTTTTTAACAACTCTGAAAAAAAGGATTGTTAAATTCATTGAGGACATCTTTGTTGGGGAGTTGAAGCCAATCCCATCCTCCACTGGAAAAAAGGCAGAGTGCATCATAATTGGGGTAGGTCACAGGTCTGACAAATACTCAAATTAAGAGCCCACCTCATTGTGGAAGTATAAAAACTTATTGCAGTGCACACTGGAGTCATGCTTTAATTTCAGTATTAAGCCACATTAATTGTCTACAAGCCCTTGTGTCTGAGAGACCCTAGCTCATCTCACTAATTGAATTGACTGGGTAGCATATTAGTTCCAGTCCATTTCTACACAGTACTTTATGTCATTGCCATGTGTGATGAGTGACATCTTTTATTTGTCATGGTATCCATCACTGTGGTTTTAACATGGGAACATTAATGTCATCAGAAGGTCAAGTTCTGATCAGAAAACATGGGCAAGAATGAAAAGGATAAAAATGGATGTTATTTAAGAGACCCACAGTGCTCCTTGAACTGCATTAATGCAGAGAAAGACAGATGTGATGATTGTGAACCATCTTTAGCAACACAGGTCAGGGCTATCATTTAATGAGTACAATCAGTGATGATGAGATACAGTGGGTTTACTTTTACATGGTCACATTGAAATAAGCATTTGTCAAGGATTATGGAAGTTTTGATTACATGGGTGTGGACAGTGTTTTACGTTTTGATTTAATTGCATAAAAATAGTTTTTAAAAGTACATACCTCAAATGGCACTAGTGTTTTTATTTCTGACGGTCCAAATATGTTGACACACACATAGAATACCCTTTCTTTACATCGTCTGCACCTTTGCCTCTTTCTCACCACAATGACTGCAGCCATTTGTGCACAAATAAGCATGTTGGACTGAAAATATAGCCCTGGGCTAGAAAGAAGTGACCAATTATTCAGACATATTTCTTGCAGAATCTCCTGCAAAAAACAGTGAGAGGACGGCCTCTCGTTACCCTCTGTTGAGCAGCCTCCTAGGCAACAAAGGGAACAATCCTTTGGAGCTAGTTTAGGCAGGCAACCTAAGTTGCTTTAATTTCACATTAACCATGCGTCACCCTCACAGCTAGCTGGCAAACAAGTTACTTAATAAGGTGGTTTATACAAGCTGCAGGACTTCTGGTCTCCCCATCTGCTCTACCAGTGCCACTGCTGTCCGGTACCAATGCTGCTCTTCAACTTGCAGTCCTGATGCAACCATAGGGGATTTAAGATGTTTTCTCATCACTCCAAAATTTCTGCATGTAAAGTTAATCAGTGAGGAGTGATGAGGTTTGGAGCTTAGACACCAAATACAAACAGTGACTGCTGCTGCTGTGAGAAACAATTTCAACAAGAGTTCACATTTTTTAATGGGATGTGCATAATTAATTGGGTAATAATCCTAATTTCAGGCAAATCAGAACATCTATCAATTTAATAAAGTGGTGTTCAGGGATTGTGGAGTTTAAGTGTAAATTCAGTTAAATTACAGGCATAAAGAACAAGTGTTCAGACTTGTGGCCTGGAAAATACTGAAGACCAC